TGCGCTGTTTGCAATGAAGCCGTTGGAATTAATGTTGGGTTTTGACGCTTCAGTGCTCTTGCGGAATGACGAAGGAATAGCTTCATTGGAGAAGGGTAGTAAACGATCTGATGATTGACATTGTTGTAGATCTGCAGGTTTCTTCGTTGATGAGCTGACGCTGCAACGAAAACAGCTCTCTTGTTTTTATCATGACGGCATTTCGGAATCCGGCTGAACGGTCGAGAGTACTGTATTCTTCGGGGTTGAGAATAAATCCCGAAACGATGGTCCTGGCTATCAATTCAAGGGTATATATGATGAAAATTGCTAGGAAGAGGATGTCAACCACGGGGGAGGACCAACTTCCTGTTCGACCAGTGTGAACCGAAGATTCGATAGCTAATAGAATCGTCTGGATGACGATGAGAATCAGGATTATCGGCTCCGTGGCTGGATGGACTAGTAGTTCACACAGCCATCTCCTAACCGCGTTGTCTGCAGAGAATATGCCCAATGCTTTACCCCTTAATGGACTTATGGCTGGATGCCCATGTTTCCGTTTCGGCCGTGGAGACCTCTTTTCGGGTCCTGCCTCGTTCAAGGTCTCTGAGGACGCAACGTCGTGCGCATATTCCAACATGGCTGGTAAAGAAGGAGGTTCGTCCATACGGGCATGTTTAAGCACTGATTTCTGTCTCATGACGCTCTCCATAATCTCCGGCTCGTTACTCAGGTTGACAACACGCTGAGAGACCATTCTCATCATAGAACTTGCTCTTGATAGGGCTGATGAAGGAGAGGGAGAGGGGGAAAGCCGTCCCGTAGCAGATCGGTGTGAGTTTCGTACACTACTTCGTCCAGTCCGAAGGCCGTCCTCCAAGTCATCTCCCAGATGAGAAGAACCTCCCGTAACACTTCCAGCAAAATGAACGCTTCGACCTCCATTGGAGTTCCGTTTGGCTTGGGCCTGTGCATCAGGAACAGAAGCACCACTAATTGGCTGTAGGTATCGTGAATCTGTAAGAGGCAATGAATCGTTCTCTCCGCCAAACGACCCTGATCCATTTTGCACTATCGTATCCTCAGAAGCACCGAAATAGTTGTTATCATCACTTCTCCTGCCATGTCCATCAAACGGTGTATGAGAAGACCCCGACTGTCTAGCTTGCTGAGGCGAGAAGCTCAATCCGATAGTACTCTGGTGAAATGACGCATGATCAAAACCCGACGGCTCCGCATCCTGAGATAAACTGACGGACTCGAAGTTATCAGGGTCTTCTGCTCTCCTGTCTCCCGTAGGCGAGTGCTCTGCAATCCGCTCGTACCGTCGCGAAAGGGGCCTGCCTATAGCCCGTATGCCCCCCCGAACCGACGACTGTCTCCCCGGAAGCTCATCTTCAATCGTAGCTCTCCTCGCCCGGCGTCCAGCGCCATCTGCGATCACCGTGCCCGGGGGTCTTGAGAGGTCTTGGAGGGGTATCGAATGGCTGCCGGACGGGTTGTTCGCATCGTAGCTGGGGTTCTCGGACGGAGCCATTTGTTATTGGCGCTTCTGCTCATCGATTCGTAGACATTGCAGCTATCGGTCCCTGGCAAAAGTATCGAGTAAACGTCCTATTCGCGAGCTCGCCTGGTCAGCAACAGGGCGTGGGAAAAATCTGGCGGGTGAAAGGACCGCGCGTTGTCCAAGTTGGTGAAGGCGAGAAGCAGTTGGCTGCAGGCCTGTCTGTACACGCAGCTGTCAGGAAACGCTCCAACGCAAGGCGCGAGATAGCAGGTAACGGGGCAGGAGTTCGGGGAGGTTGTTTGCTGTGCGTTTTCCAGAGGTTGAATCCCCCTTCAGCTCTGCGGCAGACGAAATGGACAACGAGCTTGGTTTACGTCTTCCCCAGGATCTAAACTCGACTGGCAGTTTTGGCGAGATCGTGGCTGAGAAGAGTGACGAGTTGCGTATTTGGATTACATACACATAAATTACACACGAAACGCAAAGCTTGATACGGGTAATACGGTTACGCAAGACAGATACGACAAGGAGTGTGGCTTGGAGAATTATTTTATATCCTTCACGAATTCAGCATGGAGCTGTTTCTAAGAATAACTAGTTGCATCGCAGCCAGCTAATCAGAGCATCAGTTCGATGGCGCTGGTGGTTCACATCAGGGGTTCGGGTTTGGGGGGCTGAGCTAAGACGAGACGGCTGGTCCAGGGGCATAGATACAGTAGAGCTATTCGTGAGGATCTCAAGGATAGGGACCGTTGAACAAGCCGCTTCCTCAGTCTGTCTCCATGTGGTCACCCTTCTGGCTGTCCTCTACCTGCTGTCGGACACCTTCGACGAATGCCTGGACGGCTTCTCCTCCTCCTAGCGGGACACCACCGCGGCGCATGAACCCGCCGTTCTGGACCGGGATCTTGAGTGCGTCGCTAATGCTGGGAAGTCCTCCGTCTCTGATAGCCATGGTAAGGCTACCGAGGCTCTGTGCAAACTGCGGAGAGCGAAGGACCTTACGAAGGGCGGTACGCTTCTTGTCGACGCTAATACGCTCGACTGGTGCATTGTTATTTTGTTTGGAGAGGAGCTGTAATGATTCGGGAAGAGAACTAAGCAGCTGGTTGAGGGTTGTTTCGTCTGCCGATTCAAGGAAAGGTAAGGTAGACGGCGTCGATAGTAGATCGGCGAGAGTGGTGTATTGTGATTCTCCTGTCTCTTGCTGGGTATTGCCTTTTAAGGAATGAAGCAAGTTTTGTACAACGGAAGAGGGATCCGAACCGGCGGCGCTGTGAGCTCTGAGGTTAGTACCGTGCATGCAATGTTGGAAGAAATAAGCAAAGTATGTATATGTGTGGTACGCAGGCAGGAGAACGCATATTTAAACGTTGGGAGTATACAGCCAAAAGTCAAATAACGTAACTGGCATAAAAAATAAAACCTATACGCAGGCTCTGGCGATGCGCTGAGTTTCTAGAGCAGGAACAAGGCAGCAGGTAAAAGTAGTAAGAAATGCAGTGAAAAAAGAGGATGTGTTCTGTGCCGAGAGCAATACCTACGCTCGTCCGCCATCTGCTCCTCCCTCTCTTGATTCTTGACCTTCTTCTCGTATGTCACCACCAGTAGCACCAGGTCCAGCACCCCCGCTGCCGCCATGCCGTCGTCTCTCAGGACTATGGTCCGTCCCCTCTACGTCTTCCATGGTCTCGTCATCATCACCGCCATCATTACCGCCGTCTTCCCGGGGCAGGCTATCAATGGCGTCTTGCACGTCGATATCTTCGCCCTGCAGCAGTGTATTGACGATCTGGCCCAGCTTCAGGTCTCGCGAGCTGAACCACGCGGGGTTACCCTGCTCGTGCTGACTCCGCGACTGCAGCCAGAAGAGGTGTCTCTGCGAGCTGGAAGCAAACTTCAAGACGTATATTCTGCCGTTCGTAGGCCGTTCGGGGTTGGACGGTTTCTGGGCGCTGGTGGGTTTGTACGGCGTGAAGGTCCCGTCGGAGGGCACCATGACGAGGTCAAGCTCCGGCTGGTCTATAGGCGCCGACCGCGGCCGCCAGCAGAAGTGGACGAGGTCATCTTCCGAGTATAGATAGATGTATCCAGGCGTAGGCCGGGCCTTGACGGCGTTGGGGGTGACGGAAGTCTGTTTGCCAGTTAGTACAGTACCTTTCCAGCGGCGCCTGTAGGTAGTAGGTAGGTAGGTATCAAACAGATACGCACATCTAGTTCGCAGATGCCACCCTTGAAGGTGATGATCGGTGCTATCGACATGGCCGCGTCGTCTTCTCGTCTTCGGCTTCTGCCTCGTCTCTTGTCTTCCTCTTCTTCTGCTTCGTCGTCTTCTGCTTCGTCTGCTTCTTCCACTGCTTTCAGTCTCGTTCTTGTCGTTGCTCGCTTGAACTTTCTTTTCTGTTGCTGTTGTCGTTGCTGACTAACAACTACTGACTAAGACATGACTAAATCTTACTAAGCTCTTTGTAACAAGCTCTAGGAAAAACAAAAGGCCGACGTCGTCCCAAACAGGCCTAGCGCCCTCGGCTACCACTAGGGCACTGTGTGCGCTTCCCACAAAATATCGAACAAGCGCAAAGCGAGAAGTTGAACTTCGAACTTCCAGATCTTCAACAACGACAAAAACCACCACCACCCACCGTCGCCGTCGACCACCCCCGGGAATCCCGCAGTCTTGCAATTCTCGTTTCCCAAGTCTTCGTCACATAGAGCCAACATGTCGGCGCCTGGCCAGACGAAGAAGTTCGGAAAGGGCGAGAGGACCGTCCCGGCCCAGAAGGCCCAGAAGTGGTATCCTGTTGAAGACGAGCCTCAGCCAAAGAAAGTCAGTATACCAGCGCAGACGCCCTTGTTGCCGTCGTTTTGCAGACGCTCGAAAAGCAGCCGGGAGGGCCATTTGTTGTGTTGCGATGAATATCTCCCGGTTTGCATGAGATTCGCGAAATTGAATTGGAACGGCTCTAAATCAATATACACTATATATCTATCTTGATATATATTATATATTTTGTTGATGTACTTGTGCGAATGTGCGGTTACTGACATGGACATTCAACTATAGGTTCGCAAGTCCATCATCCCCGCTAAGCCTCGCGCCAGCCTCCAGCCAGGAACCATCCTCATCCTCCTCGCCGGCCGTTTCCGTGGCAAGCGTGTCGTCCTCCTCAAGCACCTCCCACAGGGTGTCCTCCTCGTTACTGGCCCCTACAAGCTCAACGGTGTCCCACTCCGACGGGTCAATGCCAGATATGTCATTGCCACCAGCGCATCCGTCAAGCTGACCGGCCTCGACGAGCAGACTTTGGAGAAGGTCTCCCAGCCCGGATACTTCACCGCCGGCAAGAGCACCGAGAAGAAGGGAGAGGAGGCTTTCTTCAAGCAGGGAGAGAAGCCCGAGGTACGTACAACTGGAAACCTGGGGTAAGACAGACGGAAGACAAGGACAATTGCTGATTATATTATTTCCGGATACAGAAGAAGAAGATCACAAGCGAACGTGCCAGCGACCAAAAGGCCGTCGACTCGGCCCTTTTGGCCACCATCAAGAAGGAGGAGTTCCTCGACAGCTACCTTGCCTCCAGCTTCAGCCTACGGAAGGGTGACAGACCCCATGAGATGAAGTGGTAGATTCGGGAGTGTGGTGGTTTCATGGCCGTTAAAATAATGTCTTCTGTTCTCTCTTCTTTTCACTAAGCAGAGACTCCTGTATGTTGCCAGGGAGGGAATATGCAACACAACGCCCTCAACTTGACGTGTGTATGTTCTTGCGTTCTTTAAAGCTATGCTCCTTCGTCACACCGATATGGCGTGTTTCCCACCGAAATGTCAAAATTTCCAAAGAAATCAAGGGCCTTGGTTGCAGAGTTTCCATATACCCTGCAATATAATACAAAACAAAAACGACTACGACCAGACAAACAACCTCTTTCTCTGTTTATTCTCCACCTTCTGACATGAGCGAGACCTGTCTTCCTGATCGAATATCCCTTACTACATACCTATCTCTCTACCCGTCGTCAAGTACACGCCCCCTTCTTTACCCTTTCCTTTACAAGCCGCTCATATACATGTCACTATTACAAATATAAAATCGCAATGACTGGATGGCTTTGGTTTCTTCAACTTTCTTCAGTTGTAATTGGTATCTTCAAAAATCGTGAATTAAAAATCATTAAAACATTACATCCAAGAATAGGCTTCGTTAATGTACACTTTCCCTTGTCCTCCGCCGATGACTTCGCCTTGGCTTCTTCTCAACAAGCTTCTCGGCGATGCTTTCTCTGTTGGACTGCTCTGGGATATCATCCTCTAGCTCATCTCCTATGGATGTTCCAAATAACCAATCCATTACCCCCAAAGGTGCATAGTTGCCATGTCCACCATGCAAGAGGTGCTGGTCTATCCGCCTGGCTATGCCGCCGATAAAGAAACTCGTTGGCATCGGCTTATACCCCGAATGCGCAAACGTCTCTTCCAACGACACTATGCTAAGGTAGAGCATATATGTCAACAGGTGGCATCTGAATGCTGCTGCTGGTAAGAATACGGGAAGAAAGCGCCAGAGTATGTATACGACTGGATGGTCGTAGTGAGCAGTCAATGGGTACGGAGTGTGTATCGAATGGTACCAGTCGTTATGATGGCGCTGGAAGGGTGTCCATGAATGCAGAACATGTCGATGAACGAAATATTGCAGTATCTAGACGTCAAGTCAGCCTCTGTTTATCTATGAAAGAATATTTCGTAAAACATACCTCCCGGAGTATCAATGCCCTTCCCACTCCCTTGATGATATCCCACGGCAGAGGCAACTTCGTCGTCACCTTCAACCGACTCTTCAACCCCAGGACTCTTGTCAAAACGAACTCAATAAGCCCCTGCGCCGCTATGCTCAGAATCAAATTGAATATAGCCCAGCCCGCCACCTTGAGCTCTGAAGTGCCATATTTCTTCTTCTTCCCTTGCGGAAGACCGTCTTTGCCGTACACTTTCAGCACCACCGAGGCGGAGGGGATCAAGATATCGAACAGGAAGAACAGGACGGAGGGTATGAAGTAAAATATCAATCGAACGGCCGTAGTGCCGACGAGCTCGACTTTCAATGGGCCGTGGGAGAGGACGAGGGTGGTCCAGGTGAGGTAGAAGAAGATCAGGTTCAGACTGGTCCCGTACGATGACATGGACGGTATCAACAGGTATGAGAGCACTGGAATCGAGAGGAGCGCGCCCATCGCTGGCTGGAGTTTGCAATGAGAGGCTGGTGAGCCTGGCTGGTTATGCGATGCTCCGTTCGCTGTTTATATTTTTTCGGCAACAGGGATTTTACTGTTGGTCAACGAGCTAGACGTCTTGTTACGTCATTCGCCTTATCCACACAGACATGCGATCCAATACTATGAAGAACCAATGCTTGAGATATCATGTTAAGTCCTAGCTGTAGGCCGAGTGGCGGCGCTTCTTTCGTCATGGTAGAGCCGGTTGGAGCCAATATCTACTCTCTAGTTACCGTGCAACACAAAGACGAGCTGTGTGACTACATACCTAGTTAGACCACCGCGGCTAGAATTGACTAGTTTGTGTGAAGCAAATATTCAAGGAAATAGTAATAATAATATATATGTTATCTTAGGGCATCCATGGTTGTTTTAAGGTGCATCTTCAGGTACGCATTTCAGGTACGCATTTCAGGGGTAACTAGTTAATTCACACCACCGGATAGAAGGGACTATCAACTTGACTTAGGAACTCCATGGGTACGACCCCAGTTCCACGCTTTGCCTGCCAGGTCCGGAACGACAAAGATGAATGCAATGGCGCTGACCATGCTAGTAAGGGTGTCCATGATGATGTTGTTTCGAGGGCTGCCTCCCATTGCAGCGCATTTCATCAAATTTCCAATAAGCATAGTCGTGATCATATACTCACCCTTCTCCAGGCCCTTAATAGATATCTTAGCAACTTCATCCGGTGTTTGTGGCTTATCGGCTTCCTCTAACAGTTTGGTGAGATCCGGCTTGATGGTCTGTTCGTGGGCAAATCCTGGCGAGAGAATTCCCATTGGGTAAACGATATGGATCTTGACATCAGCAGCTGGAGCCGGTTGCTGCATGTTCTTTCTTGATCCATTGTATACTTCAATCTCCTGGACGAGGGTGTCTGCTAGAGCTCTCATAGCGGCCTTTGCAGGGCTGTACGGGCCATAGCCAGCCAAGGGTACAAACACTGCAGCCGAAGAAGTGAAGATAATATGGCGGGGAGAAGTCTTTGCGCTCCTTGAACTGGGGTCAACGGGAGACAGCCATCTGCTCAGAGTCGAGTGCGCGGTAAACGCAGCAGTCCAATAAATCGTATCCATCTGAGACTTTAAGGTCTCTGGTGGAGTGGTGACGAAGAATCCAGGAAGTGACATTCCAGCACAGCACCAGACGATATCAGGAGGCTGACCTCCGTTCCATTTGGTGACTTGCTCTAGGGCATGCTCAGTGCCTTCGTAGTCTTTCAGGTCTGCGCTGACATAGTGAAACTTCTGCTTCTCTGGGTATAACGCTGCGGCCTGTACTTCACATGAGAAAATGGCTATTCAACTTTACTGTTCCTCATCATGGATACGCACTTTGATATCGTTTAATGCAGCCTCAAGCTTAGAGACAGTTCGAGATACAATGACGATGTTTGCGCCTTTCTTTGATAGCTCGATTGCAACACTCCGGCCCATTCCCTCCGAGCCTCCAGTGATAAGAACCGTCTAGTATCCTATTAGCCATACGATAGACACGTATTCTATGAAAATAACTATCACATACCTGTCCATCGACCTGGAATTGATTCTTACCACCAAAGCCAAACATTGTTGTTGCCAGGTATGTAAAGGCGCCAAAGAGCAAGGCTGCCGCGATCAACTGAACACCCGGATATGTTATTCCTTCCATACAGGCGGCTTCACGCCAGTGAGACGTTCTTGGAAGTATCTGAGGCCTACACGAACTTCTTGGTCTAAAGGAGTTTAAGAATAAACGATGAAAGCTGGATGTTGAGATGTAGAACCGTCTTCAGGGGCTGATAAATAAAAATAGCTTGTTAGCGAGAAGAAGCACCGTGCAAGTCAATAATTCCTTCTTCAAATTATGGACATGCGGTAAATTTACGCAGCTCTGGCTCTACGCAATACGTCCAAGCTAGACGATTGTTCTATAGAATATAAAATAATCTCAATCCTACTTTTTTCAATCATTTATCTATATATTTCTTAGAAATGCCTTGAGGATTTTAAGACGTTGGTAATATAATACATTTCTGGTACGCACAATTCCACCCATTTGTTATCGATAACGGTAATTAATACCATAAATACACAACTTTACTAAATTAGGATAAGCCTCGGCTGCTCCACCGAATCTTGTGGTAATTTTTGTAATTTTTTCTTTTTGAAGCTTGAAATTGACATTTTGATTATCGACTTTAAACTTGCGATAGACACTGGGAAGAGTAGACAATTCGGGATACACTACGGAGTATTTTTCTTCATAACATACCATGGCAAAGAAGAGAAAGGCTGGCGGAGCTGCGCTGGCTCACCGCAGCAAGAACCCCGTTGAGGACAAAAACTCGAAGTTCGCGGCAGATGCGAGATTTGAGAACTCTGAAGATGAATTTGAAGCTGGCCGTGACCGTGTCTTGCTCGAAGAACGCCCCGAGGTGAAGCGGAGACGGAGGCTAGAGGAAGATGGTATTCGCGCATCTACTTTTTCTCATAGTACTTCGCCTGGGCGCTAACTTGGTATATCTAGAGCGGTTACTGCAACTATCAGACGAGGAAGTTCATGGATACGTGTCCGAGTCCGAGTCCGAGGATGATTATGATTATGGGAATGAGGAAGAGGAAGAAGTAGAAGAGAAAGAGGATAAAGCCGCAAACTTAAAGAAGAAACTCCCAAAACTACGGCGGAGAGAAGAACTGAGTCCCGACCTCATGGATGACGGCAAGAAGCCGGAGGAAGATGAAGAAGGAATTGAGGCGTGGGGAGCATCGAAATCGGATTACTACAATGCGGACACAATTGAAACCGAGGGAGATGCGCTGGAAGAAGAGGAGGAAGCCAAGAAGATTCAGCTAAAGAAACTACAGTCGATGACGGATGCTGATTTCGGGTTTGATGAATCAGAGTGGCTTGACAGTGCTAAAGGGGATGAGGAGGTGTCGAAAGATGCCATAGCGCATGGAAAAACCATCACGGAGGTACTGCCGGAAATACAAATACCTGACGATATGAGTGTGGAGGAGAGGCTGAATATTCTATCAAAACGGTATCCAGAGTTTGTACCTTTGTCAAAGGATTATACCGATCTCCAGCCACGGTATCAGGAACTCTCTGCGGCGGTTGATGGGGCCCGGAAGTCTCGCAAAGAAACGTCAAGTGACAAAACACCACTCTCCGTCCTACAATTCCGCGCGTTAGCTGCATACCTGGGTGTTATTAGCATGTATTTTGTGCTTTTAACTTCCCCTGCCAGAAATAGCACGGGGAGCTGTCTTGCCTTACCACCAGCTGAGCTCAGAGAGCACCCTATTATGGGTGCATTGGTCGTCTGTCGAAAGACCTGGGAACAGGTAAAAGACTTGCAAGAGGTTGAACAAGAGCCGTCCGATATTGAAGAAGAGGAGGAAATTGATACCACAGTTCCAGCGACAAAATCGTCTCTAGACAAACCATCAAAGGTAGCCAAAGCCGCGAAGGTACCCAAAAAATCAAAGGCTCAGAAATTGGTGGAAAAAGCACAAGCACTTGCCGAGTCACAGCGTGCTGAAAAGCTCAATAAGACTGAGCTTGGTTTACAGGAGCTATCTAAGCTCCTGGATCAGGGAAGCTCATCAAAGCTGACTTCGCAGCGAGAGTCACAGCTTCATGACTATGACTCTGATTTTGGAGATGAAACTAAACTTACTGCCCACGAAGCAGCAGAGAAAGCCAAGAAAAAGAAATCACTACGCTTTTATACCTCCCAGATCGCACAAAAAGCAAACAAACGTGATGCAGCTGGTAGACATGCTGGTGGAGATACGGATTTACCATACAAAGAACGGAACAAGGACCGCCAGGCTCGTCTTAACGAGGAAGCACAGAAGAGAGGACGCATGGAAGCAAATGAGAACGAGCGTCTTGGTGGTGATAGCGATGAAGAGGACTACCAGCTTGCAAGAGAAGTCCGCGGTGATATGGACGGATCTAACAGCGACGATTACTATGACATGGTTTCTTCCCGTCAAAAGCAGAAGAAGGCCGACAAGAAGGCATTGTCAGAGGCTCGGGCCCTTGCTGCTAAGGAGGGTGGTCGTGTCGAGATCCAGGAGGAAATTGGCCCAGATGGCAAACGTGCTATCACTTATGCCATTGAGAAGAACAAGGGATTGACGCCAAAACGAAACAAGGATGTGCGGAATCCTAGGGTGAAGAAGAGGAAGAAGTTCGAGGCCAAGAAGAAGAAGCTTGGAAGCATAAAGCAGATCTATAAGGGTGGTGAAGGCCGTGGTGGATATGGCGGAGAGTTGACGGGTATCAAGAAGAATTTGGTAAAGAGTGTTAAATTATAGAGAGGCTCGTCGTTCGTCATAAAAATAAAACGGAAACGACTAATGACTACATTAATTTTGGCACTTTACATACCAGTAGTGATAGGGCTTAAGGTGAAAGGAGAGACGGGGAATGTGCAGTTGGGGTTGGGCTATTCTCCATGTTTTCCTCTGACTCTATGGTGTGGGAGACTTCATCCACTTCACTCCCTATCATCTCCTCTAGCAGAGACCTGACGCGATTTGTTGGCTCTTCTTCACCAGAATGAGTATTTGAAAAGTCAGCTTCGAGAAACCTCCTTGCCAAACGCTCCTAGATCAGTCAATCACTGGTTAGTTTTTGGTGTGGCCCATGCTATAAAGTTACTTAAATGGGGGGATGCATGTACCGCCCGTTCAAGCTCCCCTACCTCTCTCGCCGTCATTCTTGCGCAGATGGCCACTAAGTCTTCCTTTCGATGTAGCAACCTTTCTATTCCCTGTGCTCGAGATATAATTGCTGGGTCAATGCCTGCCATTGCAGCACAGCTACGGTAGCCGTTAGTTATATCCATATTTTGAGATAAAACGTATGTAATAGTTACTTGGTTCCAAAGCTTGAGCTACTTCGTCCCAGCCGGAAACTGCTCCAAAGTCAGCGACTTGTATTTCTGAGTAATTTATACAATGAAATCTCACTTATAGAGGTATATAATTTGGTCCTCGACGTGTTGAGCGGAGCTATTGACTTGAACTTCCATGTGACCAAATTCCAGCTCCGGCCGTGGTTTGAGGAATCCATTTTCGAATATCTCGTGGAAATGGGTAGCTGCAATCACCTTTGGGCGCCGATCTCCCAGGCTTAAGACATATTCAAACAACCCGCAGGCCAGCCCTGCACCGTCTGTGATTTTGAGTCAGTACTATAATAGTAGTATCCGCCAAAATGGAGAGAATGTACCTGATGATTCAGTCCCCTTCCCGAACTCATCAATAATTATCAAGCTTCTATGGGTAGCTTGACTCAGAGCGAATGATACTTGTTGTAAGTCATTTGCAAACGTACTTTGGACCTGTCTTCGTGAGAATCAAATATATGATTTAACAATTGCTCCTTACCTTTGAAACCGTTTCTCGTGTTGATACCCTAGTTAATATCCTGTCGGTATAGCCAATTAGAGCGCTATCCGCAGGGACGAAGCTGGAACCTAATTAGCTTTTGCTAGATTTCAGGTGGGAATAAGTTTTAACCTTCCAATGTGAGCCATATAAACGATGATAGCAGCCTATGTAGGGTTAATCCAAGCTAGTCTATCTCATTAGATAACGGTGCTTTACCTGGCTGAGATAGACACTCTTCCCTGAGAAGTTTGGGCCAGTCAATAAGAGCATACTTGGACCCTGAGTTGTTCCTCTAGTGGGAACTGGCTCAGCATTAGAGGGAATATCATCAGGGGTATTCTCCGCGGCTCCTTTCCCCCCTACAATAAATGTATTGTTGGGTACAAAGGATGATACTGTAGCTTCGTGGAGCATATGACTGTAGACAGTTAAATATTTTGTTACGAAGATAGGGCTAATTAGGAAACCTACCGGCCACCCTTAATAGAGATGATATTTTCATCGGTCATGCGAGGTCGTACCAGCTTGTGTAAACTAGCACCCTGGACCAGAGCGAGAAGGCTGCCTTAACTGTGAGCAAAGTTGAACGCTAGGATGTAAATGTGCCTGACCTGTCAATCTCTCCACATATGTCCGATGCCTCAACAAGCATGTGCTCGTACGTTAAGATATCCTGTGCCAGCTGATAAACGATTTCTATTTCCTTCTCTAAAGATTGTAAGTTATATACACAGAGAGCCAAATGAGTATAGAAACAACTTACCACATATCAAGCCATATATATCTCCTAGCTTCTCATCCATTTCACGCATCCTAGAGTCTTTAAAATAAGCTCTATTTTCTGTGTTGAATACCTGAGTCCAGTCCTCATCGTTGGAGCCATACATTGGCCTACCCCTATCATCGAAAGGCATAGCAATATTGAAACCAAGTTGTGGGAAGTAAACGACATTTATTTCTTTATTTATTCCTTCCGGAAGGGATGTAGCAATATTGATAGCTACCTGGTTAAGTAAATCATCCATACCACTATATGTCTCTTTTAGCTTGTCAAGATCTTGATCGATTCCTGGTCGAACCACTGTGCGACGCTCTTCGATAGAAAGTGAAAGATCAACCTTAGGACTCATTAGCCGGGGTTAAAAAGGCTGTAAGGTATTCCTCATACTATCTCATGGATTTTGCTCCCAATCTGGTGCAGCTGAGCTAGATCAAGCTTGAGTAATGCCTGTAAAGCAAGGGAGGTCAGAATACGGGGGTTATCAGTATTCGCGACTTAACTGCGCACCTTTGAGCAAACATCTAATGTCTGAACTCCAGTAACCTCCTGTAAAGCTTGGTTCACATCAATAGCATGAAACGCAAACTATAAACCACGTTAGTGCCTGTTTACAGGAACATCGCTATAGGTAAGAGGTTGCGTTCAATAGACGTACGTCAAGTAGGCTAGACCAGACTACTCCCTTAAATCCTCGGAATTTTGCACTTCCAGTACTAATGCCCTTTCGCAGATGAATCATCACTGGTCTCAGGTTCTTGATATTTTTCAAGCTCTTGATGAGTTGATTGAGGGGGGAATTATTCTCTGGGCGTAAGAAGACATTGATGAATTCGTGTCTTTGGCTAATTGTAGAGGGATCAATGCTTGGACGGAGAAAACATTGTTTTAGCAAGCGCTTCCCTTGGGGTGTCCTTGCAAAATGGTGAAAGAGGCCGTAGATAGATAAGGCCTCCTTGGACCCAGATGAGGTTTTGCCAGGGCCCTGATTGAAAGCATTTGGATGGGATTCAGACTGCAGTATTTGAAGGGATGCTAACGTATCTTTGTTGATAAGCCTATGACATGGGAGTGTTAGCATAAAAGGTATAGATATGGGGAACCCAAGGACATACTAACATTGTTTTTTGCAGGCTAATCATCCCAAGAGACTTGATACCAATTGCTGCGGAAGATAATGAGCCGTATCGCAAAGAAATAGTAGCCCGCTTCCTTTGCAAGTACGTGAGAATCGCGCCGGCACAGCCAACAGAAATGCAGTTTTCCATGTCAATAACCCCGCTAATATTTAATAAATACCCCTGTTGTTCTGTGAAGTCAATAGTTTCTCCTGTAACATCGCCGTCGTGAGAGAAACTGGTTCCTGGAATAAGAAACCTAAAAGCTGTATTGGGCTCGGGGCTGAGTTTAAGAGACGAGAGTTTGATCTTTGCGCTTTCAAACCCAAACTCCTGGGTTGGACGCACATCTAGCTGGTATGGTAGCTGGAGATGTGAGTCTAAGGTAATATTAGTTGAATGTTGGTACTTGCTTCTATCGAGGATGGAAGACTAACCGACATCAGAGGTAGCCCGGCTTGCGTTTCCTGCATTTGTAGGATCTTCTAGCACTTGATCAGCTCGTAGAGATATTAGCAGCACTGTAGGTTCGATTTCAAGTTTTACTGCCCATAACCACGTCAGTAAACTATCAAAGATGGCAGATGTAGAATTTCCACGCACAGATGTCAATAACATCAGGTTCGCCATGGACGATGTCCTCCATAACGTATAATTTTTCTTCCAGGGCAGAATAGTAACTGCAACCGATCATTCCTCGGTCCTTCATATCTATGGCCATGACGACCTTGCAAGGTTCCTCGTCATCATCTTCCAATCGCTCCTCCCGGGCAGTGATCTCACTTTGCGGCAATGCATTTGAAGGAAGACTTTCATTCTGAGCATTTCTGCTGGTAGCAACAGAAGTGGCTCTGGAGTAAGTTGGTCGTGATGAAATGCACTGGGTATTTTGGCTAGAGGCTGCGTTTCCACGAGATCTTCGCGCAAAATACCCTCTTCCACGGCCTTTGGCGAATGGATTCCTTCTCTGTCTGGCAGTGAATGATCGTGCCATGGTGCAGTGTGTTTGTGCTTTCCTGATAGTTTTTTATCAAGAGAAGAAGGGTTGCAGTTGAAATTGTCTTCATTGACCCAGGTGAGGTTGATTTAAGGTTAATCAGGCATTACCCGATTGGGACGGACACAAAAAAATGGTATTATCCGATGAAACTGTTACTTTTTGAACGAAAATAATCGTAGCGAGGGATAGGGCAAGTAGAGTAGAGGTGCATCCATTAAGATGGTATATAATAAGAAGAGAGATCCGTGGTATAATGCTATATAATACAAACCAATATCATTATCATACATAGTAGTACATAAAAAATCAGGTTGACTTTTCTGTTGCGATATCTAGTCCAGTTTTGTCTTCATTGAAGATAGCGGTAGCTGTTTGACCAGAAACAACTTGTCCTCGAATAATTTTATCAGCAAGATGATTGCCGATTTCCTTGGATATGAGCCTGTTCAAAGGTCTGGCACCGTACTTGGGATCATAGCCCTTTTCACAGAGCCAATCTTTGATTTCATCACTGACACTAAGGGTTATTCGGCGATCATCTAGCCTAGCCTGGAGTTCTTTGACGCGAATGTCAACGATATCCCGCAGAGCGGATCGCGACAGCCTCTTGAACAAGATGAATTCATCTATTCTGTTCAGGAACTCGGGTGGGTATGATGACTGGACAATTCCCATGACTGCTGATTTCATTTCGGGAGAAATATCCTCACCTTGAGAAGCATCTGCTGAAACAAGCACTTCAGCACCGAGATTGGATGTGAGGACGATAAGGGTATTGCGGAAATCAATTTTGTGACCCTGGGCATCGGTGAGGAAGCCTTCGTCTAGCACCTGAAGCAGGAGAGAAGAGATGTCACGATGAGCCTTTTCGAATTCATCGAATAGGAGGACAGCATATGGTTTTCTGCGGACGGCTTCAGTGAGTTGACCAGCATCATCATAGCCCACATATCCGGCTGGAGATCCGATAAGCCGACTGACGGTATGTTTCTCCTGGAATTCGCTCATGTCAAAACGGACAACGGCGGTTTCAGTTGAAAAAAGGAAACCAGCCATCTTTTTGCATAGTTCAGTCTTGCCAACACCAGTAGGGCCAAGAAACATGAAGGATGCTAAGGGTCGATTTTCACCACTGAGACCGGCTCTCTGCATCCTTACGGCGTTTGCTACCGCTTCAAGTGCTTCATCCTGGCCACGAACGGACTTGCGGAGAGTATCTTCCATGTGGATTAATTTCTCAACTTCTCCAGACATCAGTTTGTTGACTGGGATACCTGTCGTGCGAGAGACCACACCGGCAATATCGTCAGCAGTAACGGAATCGTGAAGTAGACTCTGTCCTTGAGTGGCCGTCGAACCAGAGTCGTTTTCTTGCGGTAGCTTCTTTTCCAGATTCGGAATGGTCGAATATCTCAGCTCACCGGCTTTTGCAAAGTTCCCTTCCAGTTGGGCTTGTTCTAGCTCACCCCTGGCCCGTTCCAGGTCCTCTTTAGCTTGTTTAATAGCTTCAAGCTCCGCTTTCTCCTTATCCCAAGCCTCAGTGAGTTTTCCAACATCTTCTTGCTTGGACTTGAGGAGTTCTTCGAGCTTCTCCCTTCGTTCCACGCTAGCTATATCCTTTTCCTTCCGGAGAGATTCTAGCTCGATTTGTATGGTCATGATCTGCCGGTCGAGTTCCTGAATAGCATCTGGCTTTGACTCTTGCTGGAGCCGTAAAGCTGAAGCAGCCTCGTCCACTAGATCGATAGCTTTGTCGGGAAGGAAGCGGTCAGTAATGTATCGGTTGCTGTAGGTGGCAGCCGCTACTAGCGCGCCATCAGTGATTCGGACTCCGTGATGCACTTCGTATTTGTCCTTGATTCCTCGAAGGATTGATATGGTGTCTGGAACAGTCGGTTCCTCCACGAGAATCGGTTGAAATCTTCGTGCTAGAGCAACATCCTTTTCAATCTGCCGGTACTCGTTGAGGGTGGTAGCACCACAGCATTGGAGGTCTCCTCTAGCCAGAGCTGGTTTGATAAGGTTGCTTGCATCGATGCTGCCTTCTGCCTTGCCCAGGCCGAGCAAGGTGTGCAGCTCGTCGACGAAAAGAATGACACCGCCCTGAGCGTCTTCCACCTCTTTAAGGACGCGCTTCAACCGCTCTTCAAAGTCACCTCTGAACTTAGCACCAGCAATGAGCTGTCCGAGGTCCAGAGAGACGACGCGTTTGTTCTTGACGCTCTCCGGAACATCGCCTCTGACAATCCGCTGCGCAAGCCCTTCGAGGACAGCAGTTTTGCCCGTGCCAGCCGCTCCGATCAGCACCGGGTTGTTCTTCGTTCTCCTCGATAATATCTGGATGGTTCGGTGAATCTCGGCGTCTCTACCGATAACTGGATCGAGTTTTCCGTCCTTTGCTCGCGCCGTAAGGTCGACTCCAAACTGCTCTAACGCTAGCTTCTCTGGCTCACCACCAAGGTTCATTCGATGCGTCCCGCCGGGTGGATGAGGCCTGCCATTCGCATAGTGACGTATAAACCCGGCCGCATGAACGTGTTGCTTCGACAGTTGCCAGGGTAGAAGGCCGTATAGGCCTCTTCGTGCAGTCGTATTAATATGAGCTGCAGCTCTGGGAGCTTGAAGCAGCTGCCTGCTCCCTCGCATAACAAGACGACAAGACATGGCGTATGTGACTTTGACTCACTGCAAGACCGACATACCAATTGCCCTTGTCCTGTCTCTCTCTCACTATTATATATATCTGACCTCTGCTATGCCCATCCACGACCCTTCTCGAAGGCTCCAGAAGGCCGTCTCCGCCCTTATCGCGAAGGTCGCCGTCGCTCTTTGCTGGTTGCCCAAGGTAACCGGACACGGTCACATGACGTCTCACTAGAGGAAAAAATCTTTTTCTTCTTTTTCTTTTCGTTTCTTCCTTTTCTTCCCCTCCATAAGAAGGAAAAAACACCCACGCAAAAATACAAGGACTCGCAGGAAAAGCTCTTCCACGCTCCCTCAATTCACTTGCACCATGGGTTTCGCCGACTTCTCTACCGACTCTGGCCTTGCCAGTGAGTGCCTCCTCGCCACCTAGCTCTGTCTGCCGGAGGCTAATCATCTTGTACAGTCGCCGACTCGTTCTTCTCGCGAAGGACCTATGTTGAGGGGTAAGTCATCACAGCCCAACCAACCCCCTTTCCACTTCCCTATTATCAAGTACCAAAAGCACCAAAACACTTCTTTTTTATGATGAAAACAGTTGGTCCGTGTTGATGAGGCGGCTTAAGACACCGCCGAGTGACTAAAACACATTCGTCCTTGTGACATTTCTGAAAATATACGATATAAAAAGACACCTTCTCTGCTGCGTTGCGCTGTCCTTTTTTCGATCTTAATTCATGCAATTAGCTATCTGTGCTCGAGATGAAAGGTCAATGCTAACGTGGGATGCAGATATGAGCCAACTCAGGCCGATGTTGTAACCTTCAAGGCCGTCAGCAGCGAGCCAGACGCTAGCAAATACCCACACGTTGCCCGTTGGTACAAGCACATTGCCTCCTATGAATCTGAGTTCTCCACCCTCCCAGGAGATTCTTCTAAGGAATACACTGCCTATGGCCCAGAGAACAGCGAGCTCCCAATAAACACCAAGGCTGAGGCCCCAGCTGCTGCTGAAGAGGAGGATGATGATGACATCGACCTCTTCGACAGTGAAGACGAGGACCCAGAGGTTGTTGCTGAGCGAGAGCGTAACCTTGCTGCCTACAGAGCTAAGAAGGCCAGCAAGCCTAAGCCAGTTGCCAAATCCATCGTCACCCTTGACGTTAAGCCATGGGGTATGTTTGATACCCTACACTTACGTACTTCTTATATATACTGACCCGGCCTCTTTCCTATCAGATGACGAGACCGACTTGGCTAAGATGGAGGCTGCCGTACGATCCATTGAGAAGGATGGCCTCGTATGGTCTGGCTCTAAGCTTGTCCCCATTGGCTTCGGTATCAAGAAGCTCCAGATCAACTTTGTCATCGAGGACGAGAAGGTCTCTGTCTCCGACTTGCAAGAGGAGATTGAGGCCTTCGAGGACTTCGTTCAGTCCACCGATGTTGTAAGTTTTACCTGACTTGCCTTTAAATGACTCACAGCAAACGCTAATCAACTCCAACTATAGGCTGCCATGCAAAAGCTTTAAGTTAAAACAACAAACAAAAATCAAAACAAATGGTAAAAGAAAAAGATACCACGTCGAGAAACCTCGCGTTTTGACATGCTATGAAACGAAGATTTATGAGAAGCAGGCTGGGATAATGAACTTTTGGCCTCACATTGCCGAATTTTCCCTTTGTCGAAGGCCACACGTAGTACAGAAAATGCTAGACATTCCTGCTTATGTTTATTGACGTTAATGAAAATTCAAATGACTCGACCAGTGTCTTCTTCCTTGCTTTAGTTGCCGTAGAATCGCCTTAAATTCGTCTTGCAAATCTAGAATCTGCTTGTTTGTTGACGCTCGTCGGGCAGCAACGTAAGAAAGCTAGTGAGATGCAAACAAGCCAAACACCCACCAAGCTCTTTTCTCGAAGCTCCAGCTGCAACAACTTGCGGTGATATGTAATATTATCACAACCATCGCCATCATACCTCAGCAAGATACCAGAGCACAGGATATAGCTCCGTTACAGATCATGAGCCTACCTCGTCTAATAGTAGGCTTCGGCCTGCTTCTCCTAGCCCATGCGTAAGTGGGAAGACCAACCATACACCCCCGAATATTTACCACGGAATAAAAGCCATCCCCGAGCGACAGACAGCTAACGACACCAAATAAATAGGGGATACTCTACACATGAACATTCAACGTTATACGGTAGCCTTCATTCTCTTCCAGCAGATATCACGCTCGAGACGCTTGTGTCGGTAATAATGGTGACCGCGGGGTTGGTTATGGGATCTGAGAAGCTACGGCCGATTAGCTGGAGTTCATGGGCGGGCGAGATCGAGAAGCGAGGCGGTGCTGAGAATCCGTTTAGAGGGCTGGAAGAGCGGATGGGATTCCTTGATATCAGGGTTCGTTATGCCAGGATTTGGCTCTTGACTGCGGATGGGATGAGATGTGGCTACGTTGCTAACTTTCCCGGTTTCTCTTCTCTAGGCTAAGCGAAGGGAGTTTGCGGACTGGATTCGCGAGAAAGGTGTACCTGCTGACTTGAAGCAGTAGATGTGTATGTGTGTATCTGTGGCTGGACGAATATAGAGTATGTTATCATGACATGTTACCTGAATCAGACCCGGAGTACACCATACAGAGTACACTCCATAACTATGATTGCCGGTCATTTGACGTAATGCCGTGGCCATGCGTAACTGAAATGCAGATAACCATATCCGTCGAGGGTCGAGATTGGGGAGGCTGGTTACAATTATGCGTTGGTATGGAAGTATCTCCACATGCGCAGCGAATTATCCAACCTCAAACGGGCGACATGCTGGATATGTATCTTGGCAGTTGGAACTTGCTTGAAGTAATATTGTCCTCCCTTTGTAAGATGTTACTGAGCCAGTAGTGTCTTCTCCGAAACGGCAACGGTGGAAATCACGGATATTCCAGAGAATCGACGTCGTTTGCCACAGCAAGTCTGGCCATTACTTCTATATATATACAGGGGCTTTTGTCCGAGTCAGGCGCGGATAAACATACTCCTTCACACGTCCACCCCTCCCTAAGGCGTTGATGCGTGGCGATGATGAAACTGCTGGTGCTGCTATCGTTACCATGGCCAATGGGGAATATGGATGCCTAGAATAATAAGCCCAAGAAAATTTATTAATGCCAGGGATAAGCAAGCTGCCCGTCATATTATTCTCATGCCCCAAAAGGGAGAGGAACATATTAAGCAATTTAGCACTTGGGCTACTTCTCCATATTATTCAAGGCCAAGCTGGAGTCCGCCTGTTTAATGGGAGGGCTGATAGATTACGATGTAACGCAATTTATAAGGCTCCATAATATCGAGAAGATACTCGTATGGAGTACGGAGTACGGAGCACAATATGAAAAGCTGAAGAGTCGGCGAGATGCAGGTACATCGACTTAGTTACCTAATACGAAAGCTCCGGAAGAAACGTCCGTCTTCGACTGGCTTCTTTTCCCAGGATCCAGGGCTCGCCCGTAATATGCCCCGTACTCCTTAGCGGGCAATCAAGTTTTTCCCTCAATAATCTTCCTTCTCGTTATTTCCAGGCGAAAGGGCTTGGGTTAGTGTGAGGGCCGCTTAAGCTGGTGCGATGGAACGTCTCAGACCGTAGACGAAAAGGCAGACTGGTTCCATATTTTTTCCAGTAGTCGACTATTGTTCACGCCAGACCCGCGCCGGCTGGGCGAGAAGTCGAACCGCAAGCTCCATTTTCTGTAAATTAACCAGTCTGCTTGTACTCTGTACACATCCTCCGTTTCTTTTTCCTGGTCTTCCTGCCTTCCCCAGTACATGGTGAGACCTTTGTGCTGTTGTGGGAATTTGGTTGGAAAGGGATGCATAATAATAGTCGTGCTTCTATTTTTATGGTTGGAGCTGACGAATGCATTCCCCCCCTAAGCTTTTTCTTCTTAGGCTAGCAAGATCGCTTGCTCTTCCCTAAGATAACACGACAGGGTGGTTGGGCTGGCTAGATGCATGACAAGGCGCAGTTGATGCCGTGACAAAGGCAAAGGGGGCCACAACATCCAACCTCGTCGTCTTCAGGCGGCGGCTGGACAAATCCGTTCCCAGCCGTGGGAGGGGAGTCGTCGTGTTTGCTTGGTGGCTGGACAAGTTGCGAGAATTTCCCTCTTTTTTTCACTCTTGCATCTTGCGCATCCAAGACCGAAAAGACAACTTGCTGTCGTGGCAGATGGGCGGTTTAAGCGTTCAAACTGTCAACCATCCAACGGGAAGTGCGCCGGATGGCCGGCCAACCAACGGATTGTGGGAAAAGGAATATAACCCAGAACAACAGATGGGGCCGTATTGGTTAACCGTGGAGCCTGCCCCTGGTCCACTTCGCAATATTATCCAGCGAGCCGCAGGTGAAACCAAAGGAAGATCGCCTTTGAAATGCGCCACTAAGGCAAGGCAAAATTACGAATCACAGAGAACCTTTGTGCTTCGTTGTCTAGCCATCGGCTTTTTCCTTTCTTGCAGTGCCCACCATATAAATATTCCCCATTCCTTCTGTCTCGTTTCTCCTTTCTTCCTCTCTCCTTTTCCCATATCTCTCATTAACGACTCGTCGATAATCGATAATCAAGCGCATACCAAAACTTCGAACTTCTCCAAAACACATCCACTTATCTCTATAATCCGAGTTCGACTCAAACAAAAAACACCATCAAAATGCGTTTCTCTGCTGTTTCCGTCCTTGCCTTGGCTACCCTCGCCATGGCCAAGTCTGAGGTATGTCTTTTTTCCTGTGGTATCTGACTTTGTGTGTCACCGACCAACCGCTAACATATCCTCCAGTCTGGCAAGATGTCTGCTCTCCCAGTCACCAGCAGCATGGTCATGACCACTGCCCCATACCCAACTGGCGGCAGCCCAACTGGCATCCCAGGAACTGGCACTGGTTCTTCCACCATGCCACACAACTCTACCAGCACCGCCCACACCAGCACTCGCACTGGCTCCGGCCCAAGCTCTTCCATGACCACCACCGCCACCTCCACTGGTCTCGCTGCCACCGCCGGCCCAGCCCTCGCTGGTGTCATCGGTGGTGCCGCCGTCATTGCTGCCTTCCTTTAAATGCATTAATTCTTCAACCACGTGGAGTGTTCCCGTTCGGTTCTTTGGACAGCTTTACCCCTTAGTTGTTCCTCAGAAACGGGAATGATCAGGACAAATTTCTCCATTATCTTTGTCGTCCTTGTTATTGCTTGCATCCACCAATGTAGACCTTTTTCTCTTGTACTATTTTCTTTTAATTTAATATACCACGCATGTTTTACTTCACCCGGCGTTAGGCCTTTTCCCGCGGTTGGGCGGCCTCAGAAATGGACTTTTTTTTCTGGAACAAAAAATTTGACGTTGGCATTCTTTCAGTCATGGGCTCTTTAATTAATTTTGATCCGAATGCTAGGCCTTTTGACTCATGTGTGATATAGTTGCTAGAATATAAGCTACCTTAGCCTTCCCACCTTGAAGCTATACGTTAACAAAACAAACACCACCATTCATGGGGCAACTCACCGGCTCCCATCGTTTATCTCCAGCCAGTAGTCGACAAGAGGGGCATTCATGCAGAACCAGGGGTCCCTCGCTGCCCCCCGGCAACCGGCCCTGCGCTGCCGCTCGTCGGCGCCAGTCGTGATGTTGTTCCGTCTGCAAGATGAAGTCAAGAAACGCGAAAACGGCGCCGCGACTTGTCGATTTCGTGTCTATTTAACCCTTTTGGGACTAGCGGCCGTCGCCCCCCAACCTCACATCAAAACAAACATGACGAAGTGACGAAGATCAATCAAAACAACAACAACAACACCGAGAACAGCACCACCAAGCAGCAAACAACGTCGCCGCCAGCAACTTGTGACCCAATAGAAGCAAGATAGTGATTAGTGTGTGGTACGAAGCCGCCAGAGGATATTTGCGTCCCTTACTGCCGTGTTTGTGGAGGACGAAGTAGCTGGACGCACAGTGACTTTACCCGCCACGCTTGTCACAGCCGAGACGGGAGGATGGTATGGTCCTTTTGATGATGATGTCAAGCAAGCAGCGTGGCTAACAGTCTCTCTAGGCTTCCAACCTGAAGCGTTTGGCCAGGGAGCATGCCTCCCTCCACCACAAGGGCCTCCCGCCCTACTACTGCTTTCCCAGCTCTAACCCCGCTGGCCCAGATAGCTTGACACAGCTCACCGTGCTGCTCACCGGTCCATCGGGGACCCCTTACTCTCAGGGACTTTGGCGCCTGCAGCTTCGCCTGCCAGAGGACTACCCCGCCAGCCCGCCGAAAGCGTTTTTCAAGACAAGAATATGGCATCCTAATGTCGAGGAATCGACTGGGGCCGTCTGTGTGGACACGCTCAAGAGAGACTGGGATCCTAAGCTTACACTACAGGATATCTTGATCGTAAGTTACTGTGTCCTTAAGTATTAGACATGCGCTAATGGCCGGTTCTAGACAATATCATGTCTTTTGATACACCCAAACCCTGATTCGGCACTGAACGCCACTGCAGGCGCTTTGCTGCAGGAGAACTACGAGTCATTCGCTCGACAGGCAAAGCTAATGACATCTATACATGCTCCTATTCCAGCCGATATGAGAGATCAAGTCAACGAAGCAAAACGAGATGCTAATGGCGCTGATGCTGCTGTCAGCTCGGAGAGTGAAGAGCCAAGCAGCTCTGATAGCGCCCTGCCAGTACAGACAGTCTTCATGAAACGAAAACAACAACCAACCCCACCATCACTGGAAGAACGGCAACCTGCAACAGAACAACAGCCAGCGAATCAGTCAATTGAAGACTCTGACTCTGAGGCAGATGTGGATTCGGACTCAGAAAACTCAGCATCAAAAGAGAATGATCCAACACTGTCGAGTTCTCCTGTCATACCTCCTGTCCGCAGTCCACGTAGTGTTCTTGGGAAACGCCCTCTATCCGTTCTCTCCGTTTCAGAAGAACCTGATCTTGTCCTAATAAACGATTCATCTGACGAAGAGGACGCCGATCAGCCACCAGAGTTCAGTGGTATGACAGCCTCGGAAAAAAACGTAGCAGCCAACAGCCCCGACTTGGCAGCTGCCATAAGCAGAAATAGGTCAAATTCAAAACACCACCACCGCGCCCCGTCGTTAAACGATCAATCACTTCTCCTTCAACCGCGACGAAAAACTCCTAAACTCTCCGATTCGACAGCCAGACGGTCATGCATCAATATGACACCAGTCAGCGCCTTGGCTCCGGCTAAGGCAGCGGCTGAGAGGAAGCGAAGCTCCGCCGGGTCAGACGGTGGCAATTACGCAAGTCCGAAAGCGCTCAGTCCAATCATAGGTGCAGCCACAGCCACCACGGCTACCAAGGAGGTATACATGAAGCAGGCCGGTGGTTCGACGCCTTTCCCGACAACTAAAGTCGAGCCCTCAATTTCGGTAGACGAGAAAGTGTCTGCACGAAGCAAACTTGCACCTCGTTCTCCGGTCAGGAAACAGCAACAGCTACATACCTTGAGTAACCTGACGGTCAGACCGAAACCTCGTACAGGACTCAGAAGGTTGTAATGACTAGCGTTTCTTCCGTTGGTTGCCCCACCCCTCTTTCTCCCTTTTCTGCATTGAGACATGCATATATACATGTTTAACGAGAGCAATTTGTTTTTTTTACGATGATGATAATGATGGGTTTGGATGGATTGGACCGGCATATTAAGGGTTGGTGGGTGTGGATTTGGGTGCTTTGGAGTGGATTGTATATGATCACTTAACTACATTGCGCTAACAGTACCAATGAATACCGTTCGTTAAGCAATTAATTACTCTTCTAATCCTACGAAAGAATCGAGTTAACGAGCGACTATTTTTATTAGGACTGACTGACTACAAAACATTAAGCCGCAGTATGGATAGCAAGCCGGGTTTTAACGATAATAACAATGTCACAAGGTAATAGATCAATAAGGGGGGAACACCATATTAGATAAACAACTTGTTGCCAGCACACACTCTCCCTTGTGAGCAAGCTGTAAAAAATGCAAGAGCAAATGAGTATAGCTATATTTTTTTGGCGAGAGGATTCGTTGAGGGGGGTGGGTGGTTAATCGTCCTGGAAATCGAGGTGTACTGGTGCTGAGACTTCTCCTATTCCTCTCTCTCATTATGTAGTAAGCTGAAGTGCGTTCTACTCCAGATTCCGGACACCTTTCCAGGCACGAGACGGGTATGTATATCGTGACGAGATACCAAAAAGACACAAACAGGACAAAAGCAGATAACGCCCGCAATGAGTATCCGATAGTGATGATAGAGTAAAAGAGCGATACGTGTGATTCGGGTCACACAGCGAAAAAACAGGTCAATTGCTGTTAACGAGCGGATTTCATCTTGGATAAAAACGTATAGCACTGGAAATACCGGCAACGATTTGATCAACAGTGGAAGCCACTGCCAATATTATTTTTATAGGAGAGTTGGCGACCAACAGCACTAGTGGAAAAGGAATCCAAGCCAATGCTCGAGGTCGGGCCAGTGCTTGTTTTTTTACAGAGCGTAAGGGTTCATAGATCGAATAGTCAAGCAACTTTGAAGGACGGTTAGCAATGAAAGTGTTAGAAGCAGTAGAGAAGGAGCAAAACTTACGGTGGGCTCTTGCTGAGATCAATCTTGAGAATGATTGGAACGCGGGTCAATTCCCTGACGTCCTGGATATACTCTCCATCCTCTTCGCGCAATTGGAAGAGATGGCCGTATTTCTCCTTGGGGCTCAACTCAACAATCTCACCGTCCTCGCCGTCGTCACCATCCTCGCCATCCTCGTTCGTGGTTTCGCCCGCAGTGGTTGCAATCCTGGGGTCGGAGTGAGTACGGTGGGGTGGGTGTGCGGGCCCGTTCCGTGGGGATGGTGGCATGCTCTGCGTGGAGCGGTCAGGCGAATTAAGAGAAACTCCAGCAAAAGAGTCAGTGAGGGCATCATCATCGTCGTCAAACAAGGCATCAACATCATTTGGAGAGACGGTATTGGTCTCGGTGCTGATTCGCTGGGCTTCTTCCCTCTCCTGCTCTCTCTTTCGGGCTTCCTCTGCTTCACGGGCAGCAGCAGCCTGGCTAGCGGCGCGTCCGCTAAGAGTTGACTTGGGACGCTCATCCTCGGGGATGTACGTAGAGGATGGGACACCCTTCTCCCAATACAATTCTAGAACACGGTCATCCTTGCGGAACTCTGCCTTCTTAAGAGGAAGTTGGTCGCAGTGAACACGCTTCTCACAGCCGTACTCTGGAATCAAAACGTCGAAGGCGGATTCATAAACGCAGAGGACAATTCCCTCAGCAATGAGATCGCCTTCAATTTCCTTTCTCTTCTTGTCCATGGCGTGGCACGCCTCAAAATGCACACTCTGTTCTTGAGCATTTTGAGCAGAGTCTTTCCTGCTGTTGAGGTAGTTAAGTGCCTTGTAATCCAATTCATCTGGCCACTCCGTTGCTCCTGCTAATGCTGCTTCTAGCTGTCTGTGGACAACAATGTCCGCGTAACGACGGGATGGGTTGGTGAAGTGAGTGTAGATTGGCAAGTTAAGCATGTAGTGAGAGCGGTGGTCATCCCGGACGGTTGGGGGAGTATAATATTTTCCACGGTTCAACGTCTTGATCAAGAGCGTCTCCATGCTCTGGAAAAAAAGTTAACACAATGGAATCATATAGTTGAAGTTAGAGACGAGTAGACATACCTTTCGAACATCATCATTTTCCACCTTGAAAAGGCTGTTCTGCAGCGTGCCGCTGCTAGTAGGATCAATTTGGTATCCGAGTCTGGACATGCGCTCAACGAAAGTAGCCAGGCGTCTAAAGTTGGGTAAAGCCTGTCGGCGGAGAAGGGCATTCTCAGGGAAGGCAGCAAAGATCTTCTTCGCAACATAATGGTTAGCCATGTAGGTGAGTTCGTCAATAGCTTCGCGACCTGGAGAAGCATTGAATATGTTCTGTTGAACAGGGACATTCTCGTCATCAAGCTGGTACAAGAGGCGAAGAGGGCGCAATTTCCCTGCACGGTGTCCAAGACGAGCCTCACGAAGTTTGCTAGAGACGTCCTATGAAAGAAGTGGTTAATATAGTTGTTTTGGTTTACCTGAATATTGATGTGGAGAGTGGATACTTACAGTCAACAGTTTGACATCGTTCACGGAGATACCATTGACTTCAGCTTGTCCAGTTCCCTTGATAATTTTATCAAGTTCGGCATAGCAGAGTTTTCCCTTGCTATTGACAATACTCTTTCCAATCCAAGGCTGATCGACAATGGCACCGGACTCGAGACTAACTTGAAGCACGACACTAACAGCGAGGCTATCCTTTCCGGGCAAGAGGGCCATGACATTGTGGGCCAATTGCGGTGGGAGCATGTTCACAATGCGATTCATCAAAAAGGCGCTGGACACGCGCTTCTTGGCCTCGCGTTCAACAGCACCGCTAGGATCAACAAAACGAGCAACGTCAGCAACGTGGATACCAATCTCTACCGTGTTGTCATCAAGTCGTCTAACATGGAAGGCATTGTCCATTGCCTTGCCCTCGTTGGGATCAATAGTGAAAACATTGTATTCACGGAAATCGGTGCGGGAAGCAAGGGACTGAGGATTCTCCTGTCCAATCGACCAATCTTCGAAGCCAATCTTGTCAAGAACAGAAGCCGGGAAATCATCGGCAGCAAAGTTGTTGTCTCTGAGCAAGGCATCAATCTCAACCTTGAGGTTACCCATTGGACCAAGCTGCTCGCAAAGAGTTCCGAATGGATGGAGAGAGGTGATGGGCCATCGCTTGACAGTAGCAACAAAGATGGTGTTTGCGTAGTCTGCGTGACGGTCAACAAAGTCGCGGGGTGCCTGCTCAGTTGGAATAGCAATCAAGGGAACACGCTTGTCGGTAGGCTTGAACCAAACGATCTTTGGTCGCTCTTGGTGGCGATCATGCTGAGGACGTCCGGAATAACCATCTCTAGCCTGTCTTTCGGCTTCCTGCTTTTCCTTGGTGGCCTGGCTGCTGGGTCGAAGCAGGCCCAAGGAGCCAGCGAAGATTTGGTGGGCGGCACGGTCAACGACAGCAATGATGTGGCCTGCATATAAGGGCTTGTGCTCATCGCTGATTTCGTCTTCTTCAACAAGAAGTAAGCTCTGACCTTCGACTTCGACATCGTCGTTCTTCTTTTGGGTTGGGCGCTGGCGAAGACTGCCTCTGCGGCGAATGCTGCCGTCAGGGCCAATCTGCTGCATGTCAGCAGTAGCATTGGAGTCGGAGCGACCACCTCGGTCAAGACCAGCAGAGCTTCCACTTCTGGTATCAATATCTTTGCGTTTCTTCTTTTCTTCCTTTTCGCGCTTCTGGTTCCAGACTTCATCGACATCGAGGAGCTCAACAGCAACAAGATCACCCTCCAGGGCTCGGTTTCTGTCCTTGCTGCCGCAGATGAAGATATCAGCGTCCAGTTCGGCACAGGTAACGTATGCATCTGAACGGTTTTTCTTGTTTACACGAAGGATACCAGTAACGAGTTTGCCCTCCTCAAAGAGACGAGGAAGCACCGTTTGTGCAAGATATGGGGTGAACAGGGTTTTCCGATTCTGCTGCGACTGCGATTGAGACTGTTGTTGCGGCTGAGCGGCCTGCTGCTGGCCAACTAATTGCAGGTTCTGTGGCAAAGAACCGAGCTGTCCACTCTGTTGCAAGGCCTGGAGTTGTGCCAATTGAAGAGCATTGCTATGGAGTAGCTGCTGTTGTTGGCCCTGGTACATCTGCGGCAAGACCACTTGACCCTGAGGAAGCTGGAAAAGCTGCTGGGTGTTGGGGAATTGGAAGGCCGACATGGAGCTAACGGACCCTCTGGCACGGTGGCCTGGCTGGAAGCCGTTGCCGCCTTGCTGTGGCTGGGGAGAAAGGCCACCAAGGCTGGCTCTGGGGTCCTGGTTGCTGTTGTTGTTTGGTGGACCACCCTGCTGGCGCCAGTTGCTATCAAAGTTTCTTGAGCCGCTGCGTCCATGGCCGGCGTGGCTGGTTCTCCTTCCAGCATCAGGTCCAGGCGAGCCGGAAGTTTCACCAGTTTGAGGGAACTGAAAAGTGGGAGTGTTCCTACCGGCGTACTGGCGAGGGTTACCTACGGCCATGGACTGGCTGCGTAGGTGGGCACCACGGATATTTCCAGAGCGCTGGACACCAAGGCCTGCTAGTGGGGAGGGTTGCGATGGTGCGGTACTAGAGGGCTCTCCTTGCTTGTCGTCGTTGGAGTCACCTTGTACTGGGGAGGAAGACGTAGCTCCAGCACCCCCTGGGATGGGGAATTTGAATGCGCTATTAGCCTTCCTTTGCTGAGCCATTTCTGCTGCCTTTTTGGCTTCAGGCAAAGCGAGTGAGTGTCGACGATGGTGGCTTCCTCCAGCAGGAGCACCTCCCTTGCGAGATTGGTTATTATTGTTGTTATCACGACCGCTCCCCTGTCCATTCTCACCATACTGGGCACCAGCTGCTCCGGAAGATGGGGCGGGCGGTGGCCCCATGCCGACATTTGGAAGGGCCGATTGATTACGGCGATGAGAGGACTGATTGGGGACACCAAGGTGTTGTTGGCCTTGCATTTGGGGGAATTGAAAACCTACGGGCATGACTCCTTGGCCCTGCATTTGGGGATAACCAAGGGGCTGCATCTGCTGCATTTGCTGTTGGGGTATCATCCCGATATTCAAGAACTGCTGATTTTGTTGGTGCTGGGCGGCAATTTGTTGTTGATGCTGCTGAAGGACTTCAATCTGCTGTTGTAAAGCAAGTTGTTCCACTATTTAAAACCGGTTAGCTAACGACATATCTCCTGTAAAAGTGTATATAGAGTCCACGTACTGATCAACGGCGTCATTTCCGAGGGGCTACGTCGATGTGCGATGTGAATTGGACGGCCACTAGGCCTTGGAGGGCCAGAATTGCCTTGAGAACCTTGGGAATCCATAACGACAGAACTTTTTTATTTTGTCAATGACAGAGTTCAAAAAGAAAGGACACGAATGTCCAAAACGACTTGTGTCCGGGTAATGTAGTAACGAAAATAGTGAAGGTGGCCTATTCGACAACCAAAGCGCCAGAAAAGTGAGCTGAAGCTGGCGTTTT